ATACCTGCAAATTTAGAAAGATACTGGCACAGGATTCTCAACTCTTTAAAAGTGAGCGCACTAAAAAACAAAAGAAAACCCTGCGAAGGCCTGGTCGGATAGCTGAGCAGACCAAAGCTCCTTCGGAGGCAGAGTGCAGCAGCCTGGGTTCGATCCCCAGCCTGCCGTGCCGGCCCTGCCCCTGAGGCACACTGAGACAGCGACTGAGACTGGGCATGGTGGTGCGCACCTGTAATCCCAGTGCTTGGGAGGCTGTGGCTACACAGCTGGGACTTGTAGTGATCCTCCTGACTCAGCCTCCCCAGTACTGGGATTATAGGTGTGCGCTACCACACCTGGTTTGGGTGGCCAGCACGGTGTGCCTAGAATGGGTTCTGGTGCCAGCATTTGGTACAGGGATCAAACCTGGGTCCTTGAACTTGTCAGGCAGGTGCTTAGACAGCTGAGCTATCTCCCAGCCCGAAGACTTTTCGTTCTTTCTTTTTTTAATGCATTCGGTACACGGTCTCACTATGCAGCTCGTAGTGATCCTCCTGTTTTCAGCCTCCCCAGCCCTGGGATTACAGGCATGCACCACCATCCCTGGTCTCAGTGCCTGGCTTAATGTGCCCGGGGCAGGGCCAGCATGACATGTAGTGCTGGGGATTGAACCCCGGTTCTTGTGCTTGCTTAAGCAGCCAAAGACATTTTAATATTAGGAAAAAGGTAGAAAGGATATAATCTTAGAATTATTATTTTTTTTCTTTTACTATGAATGGATTTTTTAAAAAACCAAACCTTTCCTAGTGCCTAGCCTTGGGTATTACTGGTTTAGTATATGCACATCAGCTGTGCTATGGCTTGTGCCTGGCTGTCAGCCCTGCCCCCTGCAACGAAAATCCCATGGGGGGTCGGGGCCGGGGAGATGGCTCAGTAGAATAAGTGCTTCCCTGGCAAGCGCAAGGGCCTGAGTTCAATCCCCGGTTCCGCAAAAAAAAGAAAATCCTCGTGGGGCACAGGACTTTTTTGGAGGTTCCGGAATCTAGAGTGTGTAATGCTGAGATTAAGGGGCTTTCAC